ATAGTTATGTATGGCTATATATATTATAATTAGATACAAGAAAGTGGATTGTTCTCTAAATTACTTATTTATGACTACACTACATATCTAGTTATACTTAAATTTGACTATTGCAATTTCAGTTCAAAACTTAATATTAAACTTCAAAAAATGTCATATTTTGGAAAAAAAATGAGTTCTTTATGAATTTTCCATTTACGTCGCTTGGTCTTTTAGTTTAGTTTATTAATATAAACAAACAAAAAATATTTTCATATAGTTATTAATTCTGTTCGTAAACTTGTAGGCAAATTTTATCACTCAGTTTGTTAATTGTTTGGTTGTAAAACTAGCTACAGTATTGTATTCACTCCATTACTTTGTTTGTAAAATACATTTGCTACAAAGAGTTACAAACTGTATAGCACAGTGAAAAAAAACTTACATCTTTACAACCTCCTCAAGGGCTTCTAACGCTGGTAATTGAGTCCATGTAACAGTACTCTTTAAGAAGCATACTACAGCTGCTGTTATGGAGGCAAAAAGTTCAAGTGTGCAGACTGACTTGGCAGGTGAAACAATTGGTGAGTACCTCACTGTATTTCAAATTGCTTCTGATGCTTTGCTTGTGCATCTTGCAGTATTCCTTATATTGTTGACATTTTTGTTGAGTAAGTACAGTATGCATTATTGCTGGGTCTATTGCACACCCCATGATGAATTTCAATATACAAAGCTTTGGGGTCGCAGTTCATTTGTAGTAAGTGAAATTTGGTAGTGATTTGTGTAGAAGTTTTGCCATGCAGATCACACAGATTTTTGATATGAGAACAATGAGATATGCTGAATAATATCATAGATCTTAGCCACGAGCATCATACACTAATGATGTTTTATACTAGTACAATTGTGTCCAGATACTCTTAGCTCTTCTGTGTACACACATTCCTCTTTACTATTGCCTGGCTGGTTGATGTGCCGGTTTTTTCATCTTGTATTTTTATGTATTATGATGGTCATGCTGAGGCACTCGAACCAGAAATTGGCCACCCTTGGGTCCCTGGTGGTGTCAGTGAGTCTGGAATCCAGTTCTTTGAGGAAACATGTGGCATTCTTTCCCTGTGATCTCAAGGTCTCTGGTCCCACTGGGATAAATTGATACCTTAAGAGATTAGAAGTGTGCTCCATATACAGTGCTGTTATACATTTTTTTGCAATGTGACTATGAGGACAGCCCACTCATGTAAGAGGTGAATGGTAAATTTTGGCATAGATATGAGACAATGGATCTGTGTGGTAAGTATGCACCATATAAAATCCTGCCTCCCCCCCATGCAGTGCTTGATGGGAAAACAAAACTGTGACTGAGCATATGGTTTAAAATAGCGACTTTGCAGTGTCAACTTGGATAGTTTCTATGTTTTTTTTATTTGCTGTTTCTTCATATCATTTGATAGAATGGAAGACATATTACTGAATCAGAGATAATTCTGATAGGTTTCAGGACTGGAAGTTGAAATTGAGCTCAAAGCAGCTTAAATATTAAATTTTTGCCAATACAGTGGAATCTCGGTATAAGACCAGCTCCTTACTCAAACAAAGTTCAGCACTTGACCAAACAAATACAACCGGCCAGAAATTTGCTGTAAACTATTTCGTATTTCTTTAAACCATACCATGGGTGGGGATAGAACCCGCGATCAGAGAGTCGATTACGATTTCGTGAGTCGTATTTCTTTGCCTTTTTTTTTTTTTTTGTATAAATAAGTCACCATGGGGCCTATGAACATTAGTGATAACAGCCAACCAAACGGAAAATTGGTTGGGAAGAACTTGTTCGATAGTCAAACAGAGTGGCACTCGAACAGCCTTCTGGAATGAATTAAGGTCGCATACCAAGGTTCCACTGTATTTGAGTGGACAGGTAAGGCCCTCTACAACCCCCAGTTGTAGAGTAAGTCTGATTCAATTATTGGGATGCTGTACACTATGACGAATCTTTCCTGAATGTATGTTATTATCCAAGAAATGGAGTAAATCTTCTATTTTTGTGTGCATAAGAATTCAAAATGGAGAGCAAGTGTAATATAGGAGAGGCCTGGGATTGTGACTAATGAGCAGAGGAAATGTTTTTTAGTGTCAGGAATGTCTACATTCCTGGCACTATGTTTAAATTGCTATTTTTTTAATTTTGTGTGAAATTGGCCAAATTACCGAATTCCGATCACTTTATAGGATAGTTGAATTAGTTGAATGGGTGGTTTCTTGTGCTCAGTTGATAGAATAGAATGGGTACTAGCAAAATAGCTGAGAATTTGGTGGATTGAAACAATAGGATTGGCCTAAAATAAGACTCAAATTGGGCAAAATTGCTGGTGTGTAATTGCATTGAGCATGCTTATTCTGTGAGTTTTCCATCAAGTTTTGTGCTTTTAGTGCCATTACCTTCAGAAAAAGATTCTATCTCATTTCAGATTTTTTTTTTTTTGGGGGGGGGGGAATTTTTGGAAATTGAGAGCAAATTTCATTTTGGGGTCTGGACAGTGAAAGAGTCAAAGATAAAGCAAGGTACCTGAATTGATACAAAGAATGCATTTTTAGTAATAACCAAGAGTTGGAGGAAGGATGCAACAAGAGCAGGGACAGTTTTGGATGAGGGACAGGGAAAATTCTTCAGATTGGATGAGAGACAGGGAAAATTCTTGGAACAATATATTGGAAAATTCTTGTGGGAAAATTCATGTGTTGTCTCGTTACACTTATAACAATAATTTTTTTTAGAATAAAATATTTTTTTTAAATTGCAGCACTGTCAACACTTAATTTTAACCCTTTCAGGGTTGGTTCTGTACTAGTATGGCTTGCATGCCAGGGTTGGTGCCATGCTAGTAGGTATAAATTCTAGCGCCTTCAAATCTAGCGAGAGAAAGCAGGTAGGCCTACATATGAAAGAATGGGTCTATGTGGTCAGTGTGCACAGTATAAAAAAAATCCTGCAGCACACAGTGCATAATGAGAAAAAAAACTCTGACCGTGTTTTTGCTTTAAAACAGCGTCTTTGCAGTGTATTTTTGTATGCTATTTATGGTTGTATTCTAGTTTTCCTGGTCTCATTTTATAGAATGGAAGACATATTACAGAAATTGAAATGATTTTGATTGGTTTCACAATGAAAAGTACCTTGAAATTGAGCTCAAAGTAGCAGAAATGTTCGATTTTTGCCAAAGTTCAAAAGTAAACAAATCATGCCATGCGTCCAATACACATCAACTGGTGAGTCTGATATTCTTCCACAAGTGTGCTGATATTATTCATACCATTTCTACACTAATGCAGTAGTCTGCATAACAGTAAATCTTCTATTTTTTTGTGAGAATAAAAATTCAAAGTGGAAAGCAAAAGAATGTAAAAGGGGCATGGGAACATGACTAATGAACAGAGAAATGTTATTTTAGTGCCAGGAATGTCTTTCTTGTTTATTCTGGACTCTATTCAGAAATTGGCATCTTTTGAAATTTGTGTGAAATTGGCAAAATTGCTAAATTCTGACCACTGTATTGGATAGTTGAAATCGGTAAATGGGTGGTTTCTTGTACTCATTCGATAGAAAAAATGGAGTTCTAGCGAAATAGTTATGATTTTTGTCGACTAGTACACTGGAATTGGCAGAAAATAGGGCTCAAAGTGGGCAAAATCGCCGATGCGTAAACATCGTTTAGACCGCTAGCTTTGTGAGAGCATATTTCCGTAAGTTTTCCATCAAATTTCATACTTTTGGTATCATTGTGATCGGGAAAATATTCTCTATCTTTTCATAAGTTTTTTTTTTTTTTTTTTTTTTTTTTTTTTTTTTTTTTTTTTTTTTTTTTTGAAATTTGGCCGACCCTGAGAACAAGTCTCTGAGAGGACCTGCCGACCCCCAAAGGGTTAGTAGAAACTGTGTATCATGCCAAGACAAAATCATTCTCATTACTAATTTTACAAATTGTTATATCCTTAAACGTTCTGAACTACCTCACTATTGTAAATCCATTTAATCATTTGTAATTTGTAATATAGATTAAGAATTATTATTAGTCTGACCGAAATGCCTAGGCATGCTAGTGGTCTACTTTGTAATTATTGTTTTATAATATGTAAACCACCCATTGTAATCTTTAAAGAGAAATGAACATTTGAATTTGAATTTGAAATCAGCATCACAACACTGGAGGCCAAGAGGGTTAGGGAAGACATAATAGCAACATATAAAATACTACTGCTAGGAATTGACAAGGTGGACAGAGACAGGATGTTCCAGAGATGGGACACAGAAACAAAGGTTCACAATTGGAAGTTGAAGACCCAGATGAGTCAAAGGGATGTTAGGAAGTATTTCTTCAGTCATAGAGTTGCCAGGAAGGGGAATAGTCTCAAAAGTGGAGGCAGGAACCATACATAGTTTTAAGACGAGGTTTGATAAAGCTCATGGAGCAGGGGGAGAGAGAGAGAGAGAGGACCTAGTAGTGATCAGTGAAGAGGCAGGGCCAGGAGCTATGACTCGACCCCTGCAGCCACAAATAGGTGAGTACACATGCATAGACACACACCTGCACATGCACACACAGAATGAAAGACAAACAGACAGTCTTGGTGGTCATGGGTGAGGTAACGTATGGCCTGCAACTGACTTCTGTGACATGCATCATACAGCTAAGTGTAGAGTACATTTTAACTATTGACCCAGAGTTTCAACCTTTTCACTTAAGTCATGGTTTTTATAATTACCTCGCATGCTTCAGCAAACATTTATGGAAGTGTTTTGACTGTCGGTTTAGTGAATTTTTAAATACGTAATGCAGGTTGTTTTAACATAGTGTTATAGCATTTATGTTGTGTTTTCTAGTTTTACCCTGAGTGTTTTATATAGATTCATATTAACTTTTTGTTGCCAAGAGTGCTGAGTGCTCTCACAGATGAGTGCTCACATGATGGGCTTGTGTCCATAGAACCTCCAAACAACATAGTACTGTACTCTACAGGGTCACTGCCATTACACCAACCAGAAATGAAGGGAACTGAACCACAGTCACTACACCTACCAGACCCACCTGAAGCAACACCAACATCAGCACACCTAACAGAGTCAGATGGAGCAGAGTTAAAATTACTGCACCTGCTAGTATCTAATGGAGCAGAGCTACACTTATTAAGCCTACCAGACCCTGATGAAGCAAAGTTGCCATCAGTACACCTACCAACACCTGATGAAGCAAAGTTACCATCAGTACACCTACCAACACCTGATGAAGCAAAGTTACCATCAGTACACCTGACAACACCTGTTGAAGGAAAGTTACTATCAATACACCTACCAACACCTGATGAAGCACAATTACCATCAATACCCCTACCAACACCTGATGAAGAAAAATTACAAGCACCAGAATGTGGCAGAACATTCACAAGACTTTTCCGTAAATCCTTCATGATACAACACAATAAGCCAAGTATTATTTATTTTCATTGTGTGTATATTTTGGGTGTATAGTATTAAACACACTAAAACTTTTAAAATTAAGAATTACTTGCTACTAATATTTTTCTTTGTCTTGCATGGTGGGTAATAAGACAAGGCAAACTTGTGTTGGAGAGAAGGCAGTGAATGTTGATTACAGTATAGCCACTGTGATTCTGTAGAGAAGCTTTTTGTTTAATCCTAGTGAGCCCTTCACTTACATGGGTTATGAAATAGAATTTTGATTAGCCTCACATACCTCAATATCAACTAACAATTCTGATTAGCATGATTATATTTTAATATTGTCCTTACCAGATACAGATCATAATGGATGAAGACCATTTCTAAAAGTATAGCTCTCTAGTGTTAAAGTTGAAATCTGTTCTGAAAGTGTTGTAGTAATTGCTTTAAACTTGTAGCTAACCATTGAATTTGATCTCCCTCCCTCAACTTAAAAAATATCCATTACGAATGTTTTGGCAGTAAGCTACCAATTTACAGACCTTGATTTAACAAACTTTTGAAGTACAAGACATAATCCATTGGATCATTTGATTTGGAAACAGCAGAGTCCATCAGTTAAAGATGTGTCCATTTTTTGAGAATTACAACAAAAACTTTTTTTAACTATCCACCACAATCACCATTACTGACCACCTTCTCCCGCCTCTCCTACCCTATTATTCCATTAAATCAGAGGTTTAACATATTTTTTTTAAATCTTCCTGTATTGTATTTTTTTTCAAGTTTAGCATAAAATGTAATTTTAATATCTGACGGACCTGGGATGACCATTTGCAGCAATCTTTGGTGCATGCCTTCTTTTGTAATTGTAAAATATGGTTTAGATACAGACACTCCTCACTTAACAACCTACCTCTTAAACGACCGTGTGAACATACGACCAGTCAGTATTGTACACTGTATGAGAATTTTGGTTGAAGGAAAGCTAACTGATGAAGATTTAATAGAGTTAGAAGTGCAGCAGCACTTGGAACAGGAAGAAGAGGAAAGAATGGAAAAAGTACAAAAAAAAGTTCACTGTAAAGGGGTTAGCTGGTGTTTTCTCAAAATTGAATGCGGAAAGGAATTCAGTCATTGAGTAAGGAGTGCCTGTATCATAAATTTAATATTGAGTAGCTAAGAATTTGTTTTTGTAAGGTGTATGTATATACAGTGGAACCTCAGTATACGACCAGCTCCCTACTCGAACAAAGTTCAGCACTTGACCGAACAAATATGACCTGCCAGAACTTCGCTGTAAACTGTTTCGTGTTTCTTCACATTTTTTCGTGTTTTTTGGTATTATTTGTATAAATAAGTTACCATGAGGCCTACGAAGATTAGTGATAACAACCAACCAAACAGAAAATTGGTTGGGAAGAACTTGTTTGATACTCAAATGGAGCGGCACTCGAACAGCCTTCTAGAATGAATTAAGGTCACATACTGAGGTTCCACTGTATATGAGTATCAAAATACCTGTACAGTACCTGTTTACAGCACAATTCCAATCAGAAATTTCTATTGCTATATTTTTCTGATTAATGATAAAAAATTACACTTGTGTACAGTTCAGGACATAATTAAAGGAAATGCTTCATTTTGAGTGACTTCATTAGTACTGATGAAGTGGCCCTATTGACTGGTCTTCTGCTAAAACTGTCTTCCCTACTTCCAACTCTAACAGTCGCTGTCTAGTTGAATCCTCTCTAGTACACAACTTTCCTTGTATGAATCTTAGTCCTGGCTTCGTCTCTGTAGATGCCTTCCTCTCCCACTACATTGTAAAATGTTCCAAACTTCAGAACACCCATGACTTAACCTGATTCCTCATTTTTTCTTCTTCTCCCTCTTCCCCTTTCCTCTTTCCTTTTTTTGTCTTCCTTTCTTCTGTCACGTGTTTCTGTTCCCTCATTATTTATTTCATCACTTCCCCTTCCCCCCACCTCTGTGCACTTGCTCTCCCTCTGTGGGCACCTAGCTCCCTTGCAGTGCTCCCCTTTCTTTGTATTTGACTGGCTCCTCCTCCTCCTTAATTCCCCACTACTACCTACTACCACTACTACTACTACTACTACTACTACTACCACCACTACCTCTTCCTGCCTATATATAGCCATCCTACTACACTTCTGGTTAGTGTGACTTTGTAAATGGTCCAAGTCGGACCGAAGCGTCGTCGTAAGCTCCTCTCTTCTATGTGCGGGTTATTTGTGAATCACACTAACTTGAGAAGGTTTTTGATGTCATTGTGAATCTATAGGTCATTGTTTGGTATTTTGCTCTCAACACTATGTACGTACAGTGAAACCTCGGTTTTCAAACGCCCCAGTTTTCATAGGATTCAGTTTTCGGCAGCTCTTTAAATCAAAATTTTGTCCCAGCTTTCGTACATCACCTTGGTTTTTGTAGAGTTGAAAATGGTCTGCACCAAATGTGTCCGCCTGCCCGCCCACGTCACTCAGCCACTCAAGTGCCGAGTGACTCAGTCTGCCTTTGTTTATCATTGAGTGAGCATCACCCTATGCCTGTTGTGGAATCTATTGTGTCTTTGGGGAAGTCCATGGGGTTGGATGTGAGTGGCCAGGATGTGGAAGAGTTGGTGGATGACCACAGGGAAGAGCTAACCACTGAAGAGCTGCAAGACCTTCAACTGGAATGGCAACAGACTGCAGCTGAGGAAATTGCTTCAGAGGAGAAGGAGGAGGAAAAGAGAGGGGTGAATGTGCCTTCTTCAGTGATTAAGGACATAGGGGCAAAGTGGAGTGAGTTGCAAATTTTTGTGGAGAAGTATCACGCTAACAAAGCTGTTGCAAGCTGTGTCTGCAACATGTTCAGTGACAGTGTCTTGTCCCATTTTAGGCAAATCTTAAAGAGATGCCAGAAACAGACCTCTCTGGACAGACTTTTTGTTTGACAGGGGTACAGTGACTCTCAAGCTAGTCCTAGTGCCAGTAAAAGACAAAAAAGGGAAGTAACCCCGGATAGGGCCTTGATACCTGAAGTCCTTATGGAAGGGGATTCCCCTTCCAAACAATAACCTCTCCTCCCCCCTCTGCCCTCTTCGCCATCTTCCATACGCCAACTTGAGTCTTCAATAAAGGTAAAAGTGATGTTAAATGTTCATTTATCCATTTCATTAGTCATTTATATATATTTTTTTTTATTAACACATCGCCCAATTCCCACCAAGGCAGGGTGGCCCGAAAAAGAAAAGCTTTCATCATCATTCACTCCATCATTGTCTTCCCAGAGGGGTGCTCAGTTATACAACTGCAACATCAACACCCCTCCTTCAGAATGTAGACACTGTACTTCCTGTCTCCAGGAATCAAGTCCGGCCTGCCGGTTTCCCTGAATCCCTTCACAAATGTTACCTTGCTCACGCTCTAACAGCATGTTAAGTCCTAAAAAGCATTTGTCTCCATTCGCTCCTGTTCAACATGCTCAGGCTTGCTGGTTGGAAGTCCAAGCCCCCCCCACACAGAACCTCATATACCCTCTCCCTCCAACCTTTCCTAGGCTGACTCCTACTCCGCCTTCCCTCCACTACAGATTTATACACTCTCGAAGTCATTCTATTTTGTTCCATTCTCTCTACATGTCCGAACTGCCTCAACAACCCCTCCTCAGCCCTCTGGATAATAGTTTTGGTAATCCCACACCTTCTCCTAATTTCCAAACTATGAATTCGCTGCATTATATTCACACCACACATTGCCTTCAGACATGACATCTCCATTGCCTCCAGCCTTCTCCTCGTTGCAGCATTCATCATCCATGCTTCACACCCATACAAGAGTGTTGGTACAACTATACTCTCATACAGTCCCCTCTTTGTTTCCACAGACAAAGTTATTTGTCTCCACAGACTCCTAAGTGCACCACTTACCCTTTTTCCCTCATCTGTTCTATGATTCACCTCATCCTTCATAGACCCATCTGCTGACACGTCCACTCCTAAATATCTAAATACATTCACCTCCTCCATACTCTCTCCCTCCAATCTGATATCCAGTCTTTTGTCACCTAATCTTTTTATCCTCATAACCTTACTCTTTACTCTATTTCACTTTTAATTTTCTTCTTTTACATACCCTAGTGTTAGAGTGTTCAGCAGAAGTTTGTGGTTACAGGAAAGTGGGTGCAGGAGGGAAGAGGAGCGATTGGTGGAATGATGATGTAAAGAGAGTAGTAAGGGAGAAAAAGTTAGCATATGAGAAGTTTCTACAAAGTAGAAGTGATGCAAGGAGGGAAGAGTATATGGAGAAAAAGAGAGAGGTTAAGAGAGTGGTGAAGCAATGTAAAAAGAGAGGAAATGAGAGAGTGGGTGAAATGTTATCAACAAATTTTTGTTGAAAATAAAAAAAAGTTTTGGAGTGAGATTAACAATTTAAAGGAAGCCTAGAGAAAAAATGGATTTGCAGTTAAAAATAGGAGAGGAGAGTTATTAAATGGAGGGGTTAGAGATATTGGAAGATGGGGGGAATATTTTCAGGAATTGTTAAATTTTATGAAGTGGGAAAGCTGTGATTCGTTATGGGGGCAAGGAGAATAACTTTTGTAGGAGGGGAAAAAGCCAGTTGGATGGGGGGGAAGTTCGTGAGGCAGTAGGTAAAAATGAAAGGGGGTTTAAGGCACCGGTTTTGAGGGAAAAAGATAGAAATTTTTTAAAAGCAGGGGGGGGATTAGTTTTGGAGTTTTTGGGTGAAATTATTTAAAAAATGTATGAAGAGGGAAAGGTACCTGGGTTTGGGGCAGAGAGCATGCATTTTCCTTTGGTATAAAGGAAAGGGGGACAAAAGAGAGTAAAAAAATTATAGGGGGATAATCGTTGAGTATACCTGGTAAAGTGTATGGTAGGTTTTGAAAGAATTAAGAGTAAGATAAAATGGATAGCAGATGAAAAGGGAAAAGGCTTTGGGAAAGGTAGGGGGTGTGGGGACCAGGTGTTTACAGTGAAAATGTAAGTAACAACATTTAGTAAGGCTAAAGAGGACTTTGTGGCATTTATGGATTTGGAAAAG